AAAAAAAAAAAAAAAAAATTAACCGTATGGAATCGCCGATTCACTGTTCGGACTCGCCGATTCCGTACAGTGAATCGGCGATTCACTGTACAGAATTGTCCGGTTCTCTCTAGAACAGGACGATTTCCGATTTTTTGGGCGATCCGATCCCTTTTCACGTTTTTTCGAGTCGAACCGGACTCGGCATTTTTTAAAACGCTGCTCAGTAGTATTATCACCGAAGCCCCGACAGCAGGAAACGTACATGAACTTTTCGTTTATAGTTATGACGATAAGTGCATAGTGGATACCCGTAGAGAACTGGTGCATGGTGTAATTTCCTGTAAATGTGTGTTGCCATGTCCGAATCTAGGGAGATATTTGAGTGACGCCGGTATATTCGTACTTGTTCTTGGAAAATTCGACGAAAACTCCTTGGGATCCAAGGAATAATATTAAACTAGATTTGCAAAATACGGCTAGGTCTAGAGGAATTTTTTATGGAAACAAAAGCTCTGTACTTAATTATTTTTTATTTCCATTTCTCGTCAAACCCAAAATCTATCTTAGTTGTTTTTCTTGCAACCCTCGTACCTAATTTTTGACCGGTTAGCCCTGTACGTCATTTACGGATAATTTTTGACTTTCTACCCTTGTACCCTTTTTTACGGATAACTTTTGACCTACACAAAAACTAAAATAACATTTACATCTCAAAGCACTCTTTCTCCCTCTCAACACTCACATCTCTCCGGTTCCAAAGTTAACCCTCTTTATATTTCCGATTTTTTAAAGTTAACTCTCTTCACGTCTTCCCAGTGTTTTTTCTTTTTAAAAAATAAAACAACATACTCTCTATATAAATAAATAAATAAATAAATAAATAAATAAGTAAATAAATACAAAAAAAAAAAACCACTCACTAAAAATAAAATTACAAACTCTCTAAACACCTCCAATGCAATGCACATCTCTGTCTAAAATGGCCGTCTCTCTCAAAGGATGTTGAATTCTGTCCGCCTAAAGTAAGAGTTCAGGCCTGTTGGCATCGGTCCACGCAGCGAGTATGTTGACGCCTTGGGCAACGAGGTCCGGCTTCAGGATTTCAGGTGTCTTGGCCGTTAGGGCCGCGGGCTGAGAAGGAGGCCACCACCGGCGCCGGTTTCACTCCGAGGACGGAGCCCGATTGGGTCGTTGACGGATGATATGTGGCTTCGCCTTCATCTGCCCCAACAGGGCATGCAAGGATCACCGACGAGGCCCTCACCTCCGCCAGCGTTCTTCACGACTAGGCCCTTTGGCACACGGGGATTGTTGGCTCTATTCTATTGCATTCCACGATCTTCCCCTTGACGGCAGCCGGACTCCATGCAAAGGGCAATTGAGAGGCCGCCTGCTTTCCCAAGGTAGACGAGGTGCCCGACCGAGTAGAGGGAAACACCAGGCAGAGTCTTACCATTGCCGAGGGTGACATCGGCAGGGAAATTCCGGTCGATGCTGCCGGCTCCAACAGTGGTCAGCCAAGGGGCAAGGTTCGTGACTGAAAGTCCGGTGGGGCCATCATTCCTGGCCGAAGAAGCAACAAAGACCCTTTTTGCAGTGGCCGCAAAGGGACCTAGAGTGATGCAGTCAAGGTAATAAGGCACATATCCCCCGCCAATTGATACAGAGATGACAGCCACGCCGTCTGCAATTGCTCGATCGAAGGCAGCAAGGATGTCTAAGTCGAAGCAGCCTGCTTTCCAACAGACCATGTAGACCACCAGTCGCGCCTTTGGGCCTACACCCCGGGCCATTCCAGATGCATATTCGGACATATTTGCCTGAAAAACATACCTCCTGGCGGCTGTGGATGCCGTATGTGAACCGTGTCCATCGGCGTCCCAGGGTGACTGGAACTCAGCAGTGTCGTTCACAGAGCCACCAGCAGTGGCCTAAGAACTGGGGGGAGCGAGTGGAGTGGTATGGAGTTGGCGGGGGTGGGCTGATCTGGTCTGGTCTGGTCTGGTCTGGTCTGGCCTTCGAGCACCGCAAGCATTGCAGGCTGCTCAGCCCCCTCATCAGCAGCTAGCCGAGCCGTGCCGCGAAGCCATGGAATGCGGTATCGTACACGTGGACCATACGGGTCGGGTGGATAAAGGCAGAGGTGTACCAAAGCTGGTGGGAGGTGTACCAAGGCTTCGAGTGAGTGCTCATGAAGGTCTTTTGTTGGGGCGCTGCACTAAAGAATAGGGAGAGAGTTGGATAGAGAAAGCAGAACCAGAGCAGCCGTTAGTGACCGGGCAGAGAGACAGAGAGGTGGATGAATGGCCTGATCTTTCACTTCAGGCGGCTGTGGGGTTCTTAGAGAGAGAGAGGCGGGTTAGTAGAGAAATAAATGGAAGTTTGAGCGAAGGACGGTGATGAGAGAGGGGGACGCTCGAAATACACAAGAATGATAGGATGTTATTTATTTTATTTTTTGAGTCAAATATTTGCGGTTAATGGGATCCAGTAAGTTGCACGATAGAAAAGACGAATACTTTTGTTTACAAGGAATATTTTTAATTTTTAAATATCATTGTATATAAAACTTAAAATAAAAGGTAAATATATATATATATCTATTTTTATTAAAAAAATGACAATATATTCATCCATTTATTTTTTATTTTTAAACATATCCATATGCTTTCTTTTGAACATGTTTCAAATTGTGCCAACCTTAAATAATCAAAGTAAGACATACCTCTAATAGTATCGAAAAATGCATTTCATTGAGAGGATTACAATGACTTAAAATCTACCTTTAATTGTGAAATTTATAGCTAAAAAAATGGTGTAGATCGAATAATTCTATAAATACTTGAAAATCACATGACAATTATTTTGAAATGTTGAAATCATTTTCTTTTCACATTTATACATCTTGAGGCCGTGATGATCAATTAGAAGGTTTTTCAACGACTAGAATACGCATTTCCAAGGTGTACTTACTTTACACAAAGTTTAGAAATCGGCACAATCTAGATTGAATTTATTCGATTTGGATAAAAAATTGATGATCGACCTAGTTCCCAGTTGGAACTAAAAATCGATTTAGTTCATATGGAACCAGCTAGTTTCGTTGGGAACCGAACCATCCAAATTGTTCCACATACACTTCTTATTAACCAATTCTCACTAGGGAGAATTAATTGGATCACTGAACCACATCGAATGAGGCCAGTTTCTCAACAAGTCAATTCGGGCTCCAAAATATGCTTTTACAATAAAAGTATAGTTCTCACTGGGGAGAATTAATTGGATCACTTAACCACATCGTATGAGGCCAGTTTCTCAACAAGTCAATTCGGGTTCAAAAATATGTTTTTACAATATAAGTATAGTTACTATAGTACAAAGCTGAAATGCAATTTTTACCTTGTTAAAAAAAAAAGAAAAACAACAACAAAAGTTTCTTTTGAGAGATGTGTATTTTATATTTTATTAATCATTAGAATCTCTTTTTTTCAATTATTTGAGTTCGGATATATGATTATTTGGATTTGGATAATACTAATCCTGATCAGCTATTGTTGTTTCTTCCTCTCACTCTCTTTTGGCCGAAAGTGCGCCGTTATTTTCACGAGAAATTGTTCCGAAAAATTGAATCAACCCAAATTTCGTTCTTCGTGCGAGAATAGGATACCACCTGTTATTTGGAAAAAAGCTAGGGATATGATAAGTTAATAAAAAAATCACTAAATTATCCAACGGAGAAAATTGATGCCACTTACAATTTTAGTCAACGCTCCTCTCTCTCACTCCTCTCTTTCTCTCTCATCTACTTGTATTTTTACGCTCTCGCTAATGAGTGGTTGCATCGCTGGTTATTTTCATGATCTTGACTCTTTCTCTCTCTACTGAGTCGTTGCATTCAGTCACTATTTTCATGATTTTGACTCTCTCTCTCTCTCTCTCTCTCTCTCTCTCTACCGAATGGTTGCATCAGGTGCAGGTTTAAACCCGTAATCCTTGCTTCTTGGAAAGCAGTATTTTTTAACGCTCTCCGATTTCGCATGAATGTCCTTCACCTCTGAGGTCCTTTCTCTCTCTAGATCCGTATAACCAGTCGACAGAGTTGTGGATTTTGTTTTAGCTTGGTTTTAGCTGAGCGTGAGACTGGGTTAGGGGTTGGCTTTTGTTGGGTTCAAGGCCCAACTGTTTAACTGTTTTTTTGGGGCTGTTTAGCACTGGTAGACATGTTTCAATCATGGGTTTTTCTGCAAATTTTATATGGATGCGAATAGCGATCAGTCATGGAGTTGAAGAAAGAGAAGCTTGTGAGGTAAGAACTCTTGTTTTCAGTAATTTTTTTGAGCCATTTTGCTTTGTATTCGGTTTTTATCATGCATTGTTGTTTGTGTTTTATATCCTTTGTTGCAAATTATTGTGATTCAATTGGTAAATAAGAGAAATGATGGTTTGATGAACGAAATGGCACTTTCTGAACCAGAGTCATCCTATTCATAATTAAGAATCAAATATCGCCTTCTCTGATGAAAACTTCATATGGGTTTTCTCCATTTTGATGTTAGCTTCTGTTCATGTGTTTTTTATGGGTTTTTTCCTTCACTCTCTTAGGTTTTACCCAGATGGAAACGATCGAATATTACCATGGGAGTCAGATGAATCATCACTCTTAGGAACAGTTCATTCTTTCCCAATTTCCGACCCCAAATCTTTGGTGAAACCTGATGGGTTCGGGAGATTAGCTGCGAATTCTAATCTTGGAAGGTCCAAAGCGTTTGTAGAGGACCATGAGCCATGGAGAAAACGAATTCTCGATCCAGGAAGCGAGATTGTCCTTCAATGGAACCGGGTCTTTCTTATCTCTTGTTTGGTTGCACTCTTTCTCGATCCATTATACTTTTACTTGCCATCAATTGGGGATGCATCATGTATGGAGGTGGGCGTGAATTTGGGCATTGTTATCACAGTATTTCGTACGGTTGCGGATATTTTCTACTTCATGCACATGTTCATAAAATTCCGGATAGCTTATGTGGCTCCGAGTTCTCGAGTTTTTGGAAAGGGGGAACTTGTCATGGATCCTAAGAAAATTGCAGATAGATATTTGAGATCAGATTTTTGTATAGACCTTTTGGCTGCTCTGCCTCTTCCTCAGGTATTATTGTTGGGCCTGTTTCATTTGTTTAGTGGAAAACTAAAATTAGTAAACCTTTGATTGTTTGATATTTCTGAATATGTTAAAAGAGTTTATCTAAAAAATTTATTTTGTGTCTATTCTCTGCATGAGTGTGGTATGTAAAAGGTTTCCTGGGTTTTATTGTATCTATTCGTATAGTGATAATGATGAAAATGATGCCCTTTCCATGTCATTAGTCATTTAGGATCTCATCTTGACTTCCTTTTATTGTTGAAAAGGATGCTCTGTATCTCAAGTATATTATATGAATCGATGTGAATTTTTCTACTAGTTGGCACCATATTCTTTTTTTGTAGTTCCATTGAATTTTTTTGCATACAAACTCCTTTTGGTTACTTTTGCTCTGTAACTTTGGATTGTCCAATGTTAGTTTTTGGGTTAAAAACCAAGGAGACCTAATGGTTTTTCATTGTGTTTAATGTTGCTTCATTTTTCCTTGAAATGCAGGTGTTAATAATTTTTTTAAGCATTAATTAGCATTGGTGATATTTGGAAAACATTTTGTTCATTAGTATTCTAGCTGCATATTTATTGGGCTATTCATAGAGGACCCGGTTCTGGTGCGCTGCCGGGACAGCTCAACAGCAAGTGCGCACTCGAAATCTGTAGTGTCAATTGAATTAGACAGTGCAGATTGCACCAAAATTTTTTGGAAGGGCAAATCACGAACTGCTACCCTAGGTTGCCCCTTTTCACCAAGCTTTGCTCCTGTCTTTTTACATGCCCACCCTTTCTCTCTCTTGTTCCCCTTTTTCTCGTCTCCCTTCCTATTTCTCTCATCTGCTTTCTCTAACTTTGTGAACCTTGTGCTCACTCTTTCATTCCCTCTTCTGCTCTTTGTAAGGGATTATTTAGCCATGATAGGTTGGTTGGGTTCTTTTACTGGATGTTTTAGCTGCCATGGCCTATTGGGCTTGTTAGCAATCATGTTTTGCATTTCTTTGGGGTTTTTACAGATTTTTCGTGGTCAAGGTGAAGCCTTAATTTACCTCCTAGTAAACCAGTTGTTCTTTTATTCATGCTCTTGAATTCTAAATAAGAATTTCTCACTCTTCTCACAAAGAATCTATCTCATTGAAAAAGCCTTGAAACTTTATCAGTAATTTCAATGCAACTTGAGTGCTAGTTCTTACTATTTCTCTGAAATCACCAGGGAAAATTACGTTAACTAAAAATTGGAAATAAGGGGTTTACAAACAAAGAAAAGTGGCACCATGATCCTTGCTCCAACAAACATGGCCTCCTCTTTCACATTTGTCACTGACATTTACCACCTTCCACCATTTAGAGTAGCTCCATGGAAAATGCAGAAATATTGTTCAAACTTGAAGAATGATGACCTGGTACTCTTCCCTGTAACATTGTTCTCCCTTTTTTTTTGCTTGGAGAGAAAGGAAGAGAGAACGGCCAGATTTCAGATGGAGGTGGGTAGAGAAAGAGCCTAAAGCCATGAGAGAGAAACTTGGCATAGAGAAAGCATGAGAGAAAATAGTTAAATTTTGGAGAGAGGTTGTTAGAGAGTGAGCCTAAACCATGAGAGAGAAACTTGGAGGAGAGAAACGAAGAAAAAGAACAGATAGATTTTAGAGGTGGTTAGAGAGAGAAAGCCTATGTGATAAGAGAGAAACCAAGGAAGAGAGAATTTTGGCTAATGGAAGTAGAGTCATGAGAGAGAAAACGGGGGAAGAGAGCGTTTGGGTGAGAGATGGAATAGGGGCTGCCGATCACTGGTTCCCCTCTCTCGACATGTGGGTATGATCTGCATCGTTCATTTTTTGGATGGTGTAGATCCCAGGGCCCGCACTATACTAGGTATGGGACCTGAAGGACCAAAGAATTTTCCATATTAAAGTTTGACAGGACCCGGAATTGCCAGGTTAATTTGTTAGTTTTCTTGGAAATTATTTGTAATAATTGTTATTTCTATGCCTTTAGAAAGCAGTGAACCTAGCTACTAGAAAAGATGCCAGTAGTGAACCATGTTGTGTTTGTTCTTAATGATTGGTGATCTGTTTTCCTTTTGTAATTTTGTTTTGCTATATTATATTATTTTATGTACATTAGAAGCATATGAGAATTGGCTCTCCAATATTTTATTCTACTAAAATGTATAGAAAATTTTACTTCAATCTGCTTAGTGCTTGCTTTATTGCTTTTATTGTACATATGTGCACTGACCTTGATAGCGAATCAATGTAATTTGCAGATTGTCATCTGGTTTCTTGTACCGGCTGTTAAACATTCCAAGGCTAACTCTACCAATAACGCCCTTACACTTATTGTTCTCTTCCAGTATATCCCCAGATTATATTTGATTTTCCCACTTAATGACCAAATTGTCAAAGCAACTGGTGTTGTCACCAAGACTGCATGGGCTGGAGCTGCATATAATTTACTTCTCTACATGCTAGCTAGCCATGTATGTATTCTCTTCAGTTCCATGTTTTCTTTCTATAATGTACCTGGTAAAATACTCACTTGTTTTCTGTAACAATTATTTCTAGAAGGAAATTCAGGTGATTATTCTTTTACTGAGTCTTGGGAATCTCTAGTAAAGGCAACTAGAACACTTGCATAAATCACACAGGGGGTCCGAAAATCTCAGAACTCGTGACTGTACATATAATTGTTGATTTTTTGTTTAATGATTATGTTTGTGGAATTATTGAACTCCTTGCCTTTTGTTCTCACTTGTCCTGAATATCAGATCAACTAGGGGACAAAAATAAGAATATACTGACTTATTCAACAGATTTCACCAAACATCCTTAAGTTCTCCCTTCTTACTACACCAGGGGTAAATAGTCATTGAACAAGAAAATGAATCGCCCAATTTATGTCATGAAAATTGAAGTTCCCTATCAGCTTCAAGATTTATGCAAGTGTTCTAGGTATACTGTCGTGATATTTCCCTTAAGTCTATAGACTCTATACAAATCACAGTAATTTGGTACATCTAAGTTAAAAATTAGTACTACTATGTTTCCTATTGATGTGCAGGTCTTAGGAGCAGCTTGGTATCTGGTGGCCATTGAACGTCTGAACTCATGCTGGAAGAAAGAGTGTAGGAATGAACAAACCTGTATTCTTAAATTCCTCGACTGTGGTCACGCAGACCGGACAGAGCGCAAGACTTGGGCAAATACCACACAAGTGTTTAGTAATTGCAATGCTACTAATCCGGGCATCAGTTTTGACTATGGCATTTTCGCAAGTGCTTTCACTAAGGGTGTTGTCTCTTCAAAGTTCCTTGAAAAATACTTTTATTGTTTGTGGTGGGGCTTGCAGCAATTAAGGTACGGCCTCATTCATCCTCTGATACCATGTTGTTTCTCTCATATGCAAATCCACAACTCCCATTTTTCTGTTGCAGTTAGAAGTCCATAGGATCCGCTTCGGCTGAAACGCTCATGTATGTTATGCAGCCTTACATAGCAAAAAGGATGTTTTAAGTGAATTATGCCGTCTCTCATCCCTTGCCAGTTCTTCTCTGTCGTATTGCAGTCCCTCTCATATGCCACACTGTCATACTGGAAGTCTCTGTATCTCCCACTTCTTTTTTTGTCTTTTTTTTTTTTCCTTTTAAGATAGTGGCAATACATTACTAAATAATGATAGAGTACAAAAGGTTCTCATGAGAAGTGAGAGGAGGGCAGGTCCACAAACTGGGTGCTCTCATATGAAGGAGTGAGGGAGAAAGTGGGAGGACAGATTAAGAGAGGGAGAGAAAGGAGGAGAGAGAGGAGAGAAGGCACCTGTTTTACTCAAGTGTGTGTCAAGCAAAGAGGATAGAAGAGATGGGGAGCTAGACAAAGAGATGGCAGCCCATATGTTAGGGTGCTTTTTACAAAAAATACAAGTTGAGAAAGAAATCAATAAACAAAGAAGAGACAGGCACCCATTTTAGAGGTGCATTTATCAGAAAAGCAAGGGGCCATCCACAAGCCGGATGCTCAGCTGCTCAGGAAAGGTTCGAGGAGGCAGCCATACCTGGTGCTCATACTTATACTGAATTTGTGTCTGAGAACATGGACTTCGAAGTGTTGTCCCTGTAAAAAAAAAACGGTGGGGGGGGGTGGGGGTGGGTTAGGAAATGAAGGGAGAGGTAGGTAAGAAATAGGGAGAGATGGAAAGGAGAAGGTGAGACATAACAATCAGTCGAGAAGAAGTTAAAACAAATTAAGTCATGAGGTCAGTGGGGGCCCTGAGAAGGTGTTTCCCTCATTTGGCAAAGTGTTGGCCTCAGTGTTAGCCTCCCGCCAAATATGATGGAAGCCAGCTCCACAGATGAAAAATATGGGAGCAAGATGCCAAAGGCATTGACTTATTTTGGGCCAAAGAATGGTATTGGCATTATCTTCTTGTGTGATAAGATCATTCCTTAGGGAGACCTTCAAGTAAAGCGTTGGCTCAGCCTAGGAGGAGTCACCGGAGTAGAGGAAGCAGGTGAAGGAGGGAAAGTATTATGAAAACGATCTTGGAAGATTATGCTAACACCACATGGTCCTAGATTTCCCAGCAAGCAACCGTTGCAGTTGAATTTGGCGATGCGCTGGTTGGGTGGGCACTAATATCAAAACCAAGAGGGTTTTGGGGGGTTTCAAACTTGATTATGTATGTCCAAATCCAATGAGAAATGAAATCAGCTTTCATAGTATGTTTTAGATATATGGAGTTATGCACCCTAAAGATTGTGAGGTTACATGTGACCTTTGCAACACCCATATTGAACTCTGTTTACCTCTGAAAAATCTCGAGTTTCTTTCACCCCAGATTATCTAAAGGATTGCCATGACTGGGGCCTTCCAATTTAAAGTCCCCATAGTAGGGTATGGTGGGCAGAAGAAAGAGGAGAAAAGCTGGCCGATGGATTGTGAGCTCACCCACTGCTAGTTGAAGTCCTTTGTCAAGTCCTGTAGAGATGAGTCTACAGTCTACACTACTATGTAGAAAAAGATGGCACATTATGCCTTTTCTGAAAACTAGATCTTTGGAGAGTGCTGCCGTGTCCCTAAGCTCTTTGGAAGGAAAGGTTAACAAGTGAGCACCGTTCTTGAGGGGGTGACATGTGATGAGTTTGGAGTTCCAAAGAGAGGCCACCCACAATGATTCAAAAAGCGGACGCCCAGCGCCTAGGCGGCCAAATTGGGCTGCCGACCGCCTACGCGGTACAGAACCCGCCTCGGCGGGCGCCCAGCGCCCAGCCTTGGGCGGCCAGGCAGCCGCCTACGCGGTACGGAACCCGCCTAGGCGGGCACCCAGCGCCCAGCCCTGGGCGGCCACCCAGGGCTGTGCTCGCTCAGAGGCAGAAATGGGTTTCGATGGGGGCATTTTTGGTCTATTTTTTTTGTGTTAAAGGGGGTTTTAGGTTCATTTGAAACCTAAACCTATTGGAGCGCATTTTAAAGAGAGAAAGCCCCCCAAAAAACTAGTTTTTGGTGAATTCTTTAGGATCGAAGGGTTTCTCAAAGTTAACAAAAATTGATCAAAACATCACACATTGATATGAGATTTAATTTTTAATGTTTTACACTGGTATATTGTGGATAGTGGATTTGTAGTTCCATTGGTTTGATATTTTGGTTCGGTAATTTGGTTGGTTGGTAAATTTTAAGTTTTAATTGGATATGGAGTTACCAACTTATGGTTATACTTATGGAGTGTGCACTAAATGCTAATGTGTAGTATAATTTGAATTATGATGTGCTCTAAATACCTAATTTTTATTTTTTATACTATATATATATAACTGTTTAAACTGTAGAATCGTTTTTGGATTCAACTGGGCTGCCTAGGTTTTGGTGAGCGCCTATGCACTTGGTGGAGAGGGACAAGGAGTTCATTCCGTTGTTGCTCAGCTCAAAGCTACGAGGAGCACGCCATTCAAGACTTTGCTGTTAATTGTACTTAGTCTATTGGAAGCCTATGTTTCATCTCAAATAAGATGTCTAAGAATCACTGACAGAACTCTACTCAAGGAGGAATATCTGCTTTCATGAACAAACTCATTTGCTTATAATGCACAAGGATGAGACAACACATTAACTCTTATTGGATGTTTCATGGGACATTGGAATTCACCAATTTGTCAATGTATCTAAAACATAGTTACTGATATTTGGCTTTCACCCAGTCGACCAAAGTTCAAATCCCTGCAATGGAAACTCCTTTAAAAGTCACGTTTGGTTGGCATGTTGGTACGTGAGCTATCCCTTTGCAAGTGTAACACGTCTAAAGTTCCAGTCCTAGGCTTGCGACTTCTAAAAACGTGGCTTAATTTACCCAAAAAAAAAGATCGGGAGTGAGGGCAGATCCCGTATGAGAAGCTGGCCCACAGGATCGAGCGATGCTCGAAGATCCTTGGATGAGGGATCTAGATCTGTACTTTGTGGGATAAAGGGATTGAGTTCCAACTATGAAGGGAGCACAATTTAAATTTGTCTGGGATTGATAAAGTATATGGGTTTGCGGTCTGTCAAACTCTGAATTGAGGCTCCCGAAGATCACTTAACTAGGGTACTCTAGTTCGGGAACAAATTCTATTTAATTTAATATTTTTTCTGTATTAAAAAACCAAAAGTCTAATTAAGTATAAGAATCCGTTCTTTAAAATGCTCTGACTTTTTGTTATCATTGGAATGTGTTTCATATGTGAGAAATGAAACTAAAACCCATTATGAGGATTCAAATCTCAGTCCTCATGCACTAAAAAAGCTCTAGTGTCCTTGACTATTTTTTCCCTTGTTTGGGTTGTTTCACTTACGTGCAATTGTGCAATATGATCAACGAGAGGGTAAAGGTCTCTCTCTTTTGCTTTCTCCCTCTCTTTCTTTGTTTTGTTGATGCTAAAAATCAAAATTTTTTGTACTTTGTCTCTCTTGGTACTGTTTCTCAAACTAAATGTGGTGGACTTTGCCATCACTGCTTCGCAATCACCATGCTATCTCTCTCTCTCTCTCTCTATCTCTCGCTCTCTCTCTTCAAGTCCTGAAGATCCGTTAAGCAATCCATGTTCCTAAATGAATCTCGAATTGTGCTGGTGAACCTTGCTCCCAATGTTTTTTTGGGTGAATACCTTGCTCCCAGTGGAGAAGAAACTCAATCCCAAGTTGGTGGAGGCTCGATTCCAGTTACTCATGGATCCATGATTTCGATAGCAGGGATCCCATTAACTAGGGATCTAGATCCTCAATTTTGCGTATTGAGATCCCTAAATTCAAAAGATGGGTGAAATCGAGATCCCTTGTCCTGGAGTGTAGGATTGAGCCTTGGATTGGGAGATCCTGGTAGCTATGGTTTACATGTTGTTGGATGAAACTCAGGATTCCATCACAGACCATGTAAGCCTAGATGATCTTGTTCCTTACTATGTCAATGTTACTGTAAGACATGTGTCTCACTCTTCTTCAAGAGTAATCTATGCTGGCTCACTTACATCTTCTGCCAAATCTTGATGTCTTTCTTTTGATCTCTGCTGTTGAGAGGGGCTCCACATTGCATTATGAGACATAGCACTCCCACCTTAATCTCTTAACTCTCTTTGCTATTGTAAACAGTGAGGCTTTACCCGTCTCTGTAATAGTAGAGAGGTTCAAGGGTGTTCCCTCCATGACTGGGAGGAGCCTTGGGAGAGATCTGGTTTTTGGTTTTGTTATAGTTCCATATAATTTAATGTTTTAAACTTTTGAGTGAATTATTGCATACTGGAGGAACAAGGATGCTTTGGAAGAATGAGGTTTTGTTTACTCTCACCAGTTGAATGGAACACTTGTCATACTTATAACCAGTTAGAGTTTATATATTTTCTTGGGCCAACATATGTTTTTTCTGGTAGATTGGGAATGGCTATCGGTAGGCATGGGCAAGAGTTCACGATGACACATTATTGGCTTGCTGCACTTTTTTTGTTTTGTGGCATTATGATGTGTAATTCATAAAGTTCACAATTTTCTAATACTTTTGCAGTTCATATGGACAAACTTTGATAACAAGCACATTTATTGGGGAGACAGCATTTGCCATACTTATTGCTATTTTGGGTTTGGTCTTATTTGCACATTTGATTGGCAACATGCAGGTATATTCGATTCCTTATGACTGCCTCTTTTTTGCATATTCTCTTGTTTGATCAATTGTTTTACTATCCTTTAATTTTTTGAGCTATAACACTTCTAAGTTTGGCCTATTAAAAATAAAGAATATGATTATGGCCAAAATAAAGAATATGATTATGGCCAAGCAAGAGCTTGAAAGGTGAAGACTACATAGCTGCCCCACAGTTTCTTTGAGCTAGAAATGAAAATTCACACATATCTCATAATTATTTAAGGCAATATTTTCCATATTTTGGGGTTGGCTATCCGATGCTCCATTCTTTGATGGCAATTTGTATGCATGATAGTGCATATCATGGAGCTCTTTGAAGGGATTGAGTTGTTCAAGTCATATCTATCTCTTTTGAGATGTTAGTGGCAGGAAAGGAATCCTTGACATCAAATTGTGGCACCATCACCATCACCACCCAGGCCAAGGGCCTATTGTTGAGTCCTATCTGTCTCTTTTATACACATTCTTGATAAGGCTAGTGAAAAGGTGGTGTCTTTGGATGGGGTGACTATTGCAGTTTGGATCATGTTATTTGAAACCCCTTAGAAGTTGTTTAGATTATGTCCTATTTTTTGTTACTTCAGTTGCTAGTGCTCCTTGATACTTGAAAGCAATGGGTTACTCATTAAGAAAATTATGAAAAGTTGTTCCTTTGGCCTTTCCTACTTGTTTTCACTTATTTAACTTTCGACCTAAATCATATATACTTACTAGCTTGAGGCTTTTTATAACTCAAATGCTGCAAGAACGATTTTGGAGTGCTTGTCAACATTCTTGAGTTATTTTTTGTTAACTCCCAAATTGTTTCACAAGAAAGGAAATGAATCCCTATGTGAGCCATTGGTGAAAAACAAAGAGAATAAGAGAGAAAAGAGGAACACACCATACTCCCATGAAAAAACACACTACCGTACTGCCCTAATTCTTGTATTATAACATATATAATTGTACATCTTGAGTAAGGACAGATTTGCCCTTATACATTATTGCAATTGACATTACAATGTATAAACCACTTAAAATATACACAAATTACAGAACTATCCTTCAATGCATTCTAATACTCCCCTCAACTTGAACATTATGTTTGTACATGTACAACTTGTTCTTTAAGAACTCGTTTCTATCTTTTGCAAGCCCTCAGCTATTTGATGTTTTGGTCACCGATAAAGTGAGCATCTATCTTCCCAGCTTCAATTTTCTCACGAACAAAATGGTAATCTATGTGAATGTGTTTAGTGCGATCATGAAATAGTGGTTTTGTTGAAACTGCCAGAGCACTCTTGTCATGGTAAAATATTTACTTGCATATTTTTGTTTCAAGAAAAGAAACAATATTTCATATCCATGAAATTTCAGAAACTATACCTGCAAGTGCTCGATACTCAGCCTCAGTACTAGACCTGCAATAGTTTTCCATTTCTTACTCCATGAAATTAGATTTCTTCCAACAAAGACAAAATAACCTGTACTAATTTTCTAGAATCTGGATCTCTAGCCCGGTTTGCATCAGAGTACCCAAATATAGAAGAAATGCTCAATTTATTCGTGTTGTTGTTTTCATAGAGCAGCTCATGATTCATTATTCCTTTTACATATACGATTATTCTCTTTAATGCTTCCATGCGAGTGTCAGTGGGAGTATGTATAAATTGACATTCTTAGTTAACAACATAGATACATCAGGGCTGGTGAGAGTAATACTGTAATGCAGCTAATGCCCCTGCTAAACTTCTATATCTCTCTGGATTATTTAAAGGCTGTCCTTTAGATATCCTTAATCTTTATTTGCCTGGTGTACGATATGGCCTGCAATGGCATATTTGCCTTTTCAAGAAGGTCTATAATGTATTTTTGTTGGGACAACCAAGTTTGATTCTCATTTCAATCTACTTCAATTCCTAGGAAGTTTCTCAATTGACCGGAGTCTTTCATCATAAATATATCATGCAAAAATTTCTTAGCACTATCAATCAGGTTTATAGAACTTGTAGTAATTATAATGTCATCAACATGAAGCAAAATGATAATAACAACTTCCTTGTTAAGACAAATAAAGAATGAAAGATCTGATGCTGCCTTAATAAAACCCATATCTTTTAACACATTATGAAAACACAAAAACCACATTCTTGGATCTAGTTTTAACCCATTTATAGATCTTTACAGCCTGCAAACATGAGTCTCTGGATGATGGAAACCTAGTGGCTGCTCCATGTAGACCTCTTCGACCAAATTTCCATGCAAAAATGCATTCTTAACATCCAACTGAAAAAGAGACCAACCACAGGCTAAAGCAAAAATGCATTCTTAACTGCAAGACTTAATGTTACATCATAATCAAGTCCTTGTTGTTTATTAAACCCTTTTGCAACCAGCCTTGCTTTCAACTTTTCCACAATACTATATGACTTGTACTTCACTTTGTAAACCCACGTGCAGCCCACTATGTTTTTATCTTCCGATCTAGGAACTATCTCCCAAGTATTGTTTTATGTACATAGCTATAATCTCTTCTGCCGTAGCCCTGATGCACTGTCGATATTTTATTCTCTCAAGATAAGTTCTAAGCTCTTTGATTTTGAGAATTTCACACATAAAAACTTGAAAACTATGAGTGAAGGTGCCAACTTACCCATTGATCAATTGGATGCCTTGTTCTAGTAGATTTTTGTGGGTTTTTAGTGCTCTTTTGAACTTCAACCGGCCTATCTTCATGCTGCCCCTGCCCTTCACTTCTTCTTTAATATACTATAACATTTTTGGCGGATTTATGAGGGTCTTCAATTTTGTGAGAGGCTTCATTTGGACAATCCTCTTGCTGCCATTCATGCCTTCTTCTTTGATATACTATGATATCTTTGGCTAATTAATTAGGGTCTTCAATTTTATGAGTCTTCATTTGGACCCTAGTCCATATATTTCTCAAACTCGTCCCCAGGTCTTGGAGGAGTTTCATCTATCATGTCCCCTGACTATATTGCTTACCACTTCTATCTACATCTGTATCAACAAAAAAGTGGTGTCTCATCTACAACTTGATTCATGGGTTGACTATCAATTTCATGATGCAATGGCACTTCCGTTTTACCTGAATCACATACATCTATAAAACAAGGAGGCATATAAATCTTCCTTTCATCAAAGGTTACATTTCTCGAGTTAAGAACTCTTTTCAATCCAGGACTGAAACATCTGTATCCCTTGTATTAACATACTCTTTAAAAACACAAACATTTGCCTTTAGGGATTACTTATTGCTTTGACTCTTGTCAACATGAACATAGGCATAACATACAAAAGATCTCAATGTGCAATAATCAGGGTCCTTTCCATGTGGAACTAGGTAAGGTGATTTTCCAAGGCAACCTATTGATGAGATAAACCGTTGTATGAAATACTTGTCTATAAAAATTTATGAACTCACACTCACATCATGGACAATGCAACTTCATTGATATGCCTGTTTTTCTCCTTGCTACTCCATTTTTCCCAGGCGTGTGTGCACATGATATTTGTTGTTTCACCCCATTATTCTAGATAGGTTCTATAGTTATGGGATGAAAACTTCCCCCCCTACATCATTACAAAAGTAGACTATAGGATTTTGTATTTCATAAAAATGGGAAACACGTTAGATTTCTTCTTAACAAAGAATATCCAGGTAAAACGAGAGAAATTATCCACAAATTTAACATAATATAAAGAATAGATAAAGAAGACTGTGGAGAGGGACCCCAAACATCAGATTCAGATTGAATTAATTGAAAGGGAGCCTAAGCTCTTTAATTATGAAGCATAAATGGAAGTTTCACATGTTTACCCAACTGATACCCATGACGCACAAATGAAGATTGAATCTCAAGATAAGAGCGAATTAAGTTCTCTTTACATGATTTATTCTAAGACTCAGGACTGCAATGACCTAAGCAATGATGCCAAATACTGGTTTCTTCATTGACACCAAGAGAAGAAAAGAACGATGGGAGCTTCTTCATGGCGTGATCGTCGATAATCTAAAGCTGTCCCCGACGAAACCTTTTAGTGCAGATCCGCTATTGTTGTTCCTTCAGAAAAACAAAATAGGGTAAATACGCATGACATGGAATTTTCTCAAGCTAACTGAGGGACTAAAATAATATTTTGACATATTGTAGGAACAAAGAAGACATTAGATAAATAGATAGACCATAGGAGTGAGCTGTGGCACTTCCTACATGAGTGATATTGAGGGGGTTCCATCACCAATCACAACAGAGCCATTACTAGAGTAAGGAATTAGGATGAGAACATACCATTATCACTTGAAACATGATTTGCAGCAGCACTATCTACAACCCAACTTGTCTCTGTAGGTGATGTAATAGCTAAGTTCTCCAGAGAATGATTTAGGGCAGCTACTTGACTTTCAACTAGTTGGGTTTTATGACAATCAAAGCACTTAACGGCTGTATGATTCATATCTGGAAAACAACACCACCATCCGAAGTGACAGATGATCCTGTTGAAGGAGTGGGTTGCAAACCACAACCATGGATTTAGTTGAAAATTAGTTCTTCCACCTCGACCTCCACATCCTCTACCTCTTCCACCACAATTTGAATTCCAGCTTGTATTGATAGTTGAATTACATTTTGACAGTAAAATAGGATTATAATATTCAGTAGAAGACTTTTGCAATGGGGGTTTAAGGTTGAATAACGCTTCATGCTCCACAATAATGGTTGCAGTTCACTAAAAGAGCGAAATAGTCTTCATTATCGCAGATGAAACAAACAATTTATAATCATCCCCTAAACCTCTCGAAACATAATGGACCTTGTCCCTTTTACTTAGGGGATCGTGCACCATAGCGAGCTGATCTCGTAGGACTTTTATCTTATTATATAATTATGAGGTTGATGTGTTATTTCTTTTACAAGCACGAAGCTCACTTTGAAGATGCATAATTAGGGCCTATTCTTCCAGGGAGAATAAGTCACGAAGGGCCTCCCATAATGGTGCAGTAATCGGTAAATTAATTTATTGAGGAATAAGTCCCATCTAAAAGGTGGAACAAAGCCAATCAATGAGGTTCTGGTCCTTTAGATACCCAATCATCATATCTGGGGTGGATTGAGCAACATTTTTAGTTGTACCATTTTCATTAATGTCTTCTTTTGTATGAAACTCAATTGGCATGGAGTTTAATAGGTATGTATTAAGGATTAGGAAGACCAATAGAAGTAGAAGAAGGCAACAAGGCGATTTTTTAGCACAGTAATATGTAGGGTCCTCGGGAACCCCTCGCTTGCGGGACTACCAATCCCAAACACCGGAATCTCACCCAAGATCGTCAAATAGTTGGCTAAATGTGAAATAGATGAATACAGTCATAAATCGAGTGCAAGAAATAAAGCAAGAACAAAAAATCCCACCACAACTACTTAAGATTTACGTGGTTCACCTCGTAGGGCTACATCCATGGCCTCGGCAAATAGAAATCCACTATCTCAATGAAGATTACAATTTTGAGTTACAAGAGATATACCTTTCTCTATACATCGGCAAAGACCTTATTGACCTTCTCTTCTCAATCCACTCTCTCGAGTCTCGATCAAGCAACACCGTTGATCAACCTTACATTTTCTATCGTTATACCGCTACGGAAAGAGCACCTTGAGATCAATCAAGAGACTCACTCTTTAAAAGTGGAAATTAAACCAGCCCAAAATTCCATGGGAAAGGCACCTCTCACTACGAGGCCATATCTCTCTCTCTTGGAAACTCATCTCTTTCTTGGAAATCCCTTCCCATGACCCCAAAGGGGTGACCCTTAAAAGGATGAGTATTGTGTCTTCTTTGGTCCTCTTTTATAGAGATTGCTATGGCTTCTTTCTTACTCCCCAAGAAACCCCCCTTTTTCTTTTTGCCGCAATACTCTTCATCTTTTAAAGAAAAGATAGGTGTGGTGGATTTGACTTTCAAGAAACCTAGCATAAGAAAGAGCTAGAGAGCATAGGTGTGGTCGATTTGACTGTCATGAAACCTAACATAAGAAAGAGCAAGAGAGCAAGAGATTTCAAGGAAGAAGAATGAAGGGAAATAAACTAGCAGTTAAGTTTTGATGAGCAAGAGAGAGAAAAGCAGTTAGGGTTTTGAACTGGATTTTAAGAACTGAGAAGGAGAACAATAGTTAGGAATTTTATTTGTTTATTTATTTTTTTGGGTAAATCAGGGATTAGAGCCCCTATCCATTTTTCATTAATAAAGAAAGAAGAGAACAAAGAATACAAAGTTTATGTTACAATTCTTTCATAAGTAATTCTAGCCATGTTAGAAAAAATAAGAGAAGAAAGAAAGTGAGGTGGCCGGGCTTGCCAAACTGTGGTCTTAGAGAGATTTGCTGCACTTTTGGCCAGTTAGTCGGCTACTGATTTGGCCTCACGGTAGACATGCGAAATACTCCATGGGCAGTCAACAAGGTGGTAAGAGCAGTTTGCTGTCTTGATGCGGAGATTCTAGGGGGCTTGTGGTGGCTTGTGGTTAGGAATTTTATTTTTTAAGAAAGAAATAGGTTGTGAAGAGCAGAATTATAGATATTTGATGAGATCTATGTTTTAATATTGGATAAAGAGAGAATCAAGACTTTTGTAGCTGAAATATGAGGCTTTGTAAAGAAAAAAAAAGAAGTCGTGTGAACAGTAGAATGAATAGGAGCATCAACAGTAATGTAAACAATAGCATGAATAGGAGAATGAACAGTAGGTGGTGCCCCCAATATGGAGGAAATATGAGAGAAAGATTAGTGTTGAGGAAAGGAGGATGAGGATGTTGAAACAGGGTAAAGACGGAGAAAGAAAGGTTAGGGTTTAGAAGAGAGAAATAATGAATCGTCGAGAAGAAGGAAATATGGGTGTTACCTTGACTAAAGTTGATCACGCTAAGAGCATATTCAAACCTACTCTGATACCATGAAAATCATAGAGAAGAAAAGAGAAGAGAGGCACACGTTATTCTCCCTTGAAACACACACTAGGGCAATGCCCTAATTCTTGTATTATAATATATATAATGTTACATCCTGAGTAAGGACATATTTGTCCTTGTGCCCTTCATTGCATTCTAACAATTGCTTGGTTTCAGAGGATCTTCTTTGTTACTACAAAAAATGACCAATTTAACAAGCAGTACTTTTCCCCAAGAGTATATTTAGTTATTTAGATATGAGGGGCAAACTAAGGCATGCATAAATGCATGGACTGCTTAGCAAACAAGAGCCACACCTTTTAAGAAAATTCATAGAGAAAAAGGACAAACCTTCTTAGTGGATGAATTGTGCATGCCTTTACCATACAAATACTCGTCACTCAGATAATTCTATACACTTATAGCTGATATGGAGCTTGTTAGTGTTGGTAATAGCTTCTATGTGGCCACTAAGACTAGATATACATTAATCGTATTTCATTTTTGACAAGATATACAGTTGCCATATTCTCATGGTGGTGTGTCATCTTTGTCATACCCAAATTGAGTAAGACAATTTGCCATTACAATTCATTCTTGACAATTTGCCATTACAATTCATTCTTTATGGCCCTTTCATTGTGACTAGTCATTTCTTGTAAGCTCCTGTGATGATGTTGGTTTTTTTTTGTTGTAAGTGAAGTAAATATTTTCAACTAGTCATTCTCAAAAAAAAAAAAATTCAATTAGTTTAGTCTTGTTAGTATCTCCGATAACACATAGGGGAAAGTATACCATATTGGAGTGGCCTATATTATACAGTATTCCATTGGGGCATCCACTCTCTTTTCTCAACAATGGAAAGTGAATGTTCTTCTGATCTCCACTATCCATCTGGAGTGGCTTTGGATGACTGTTTGGGCAATGTATGGGACGTTTGATGGATTATGGCATCGTTCCCCTACACATGGAAGAAGTTAATTCTAAGTTTGAAAGATTTGCAATAATTTGTATCCTTTTGTTTGTGAAGACCTATTTGCAATCTCTTACTGTGAGGCTTGAAGAGTGGAGACTAAAAAGGAGAGATACAGAAGAGTGGATGAGACATCGGCAACTTCCCCCAGATTTACAACAAAGAGTCCGGCGCTTTGTCCAATACAAGTGGCTTGCAACAAGAGGAGTTGACGAGGAAACAATTTTGCGTGGCCTACCTAAAGATCTTCAGCGGGATATTCAACGACATTTGTGCTTGGACCTTGTCCTCCGTGTAAGAAATTATATTACTCCCTTCAATCATTTGACCTGTTTACTTCTTAAAGTTGCTTTTTTATTTATTTGCCGCTCATTCTTGATTCATTTTTCTTCTTATAAGCTTTGGGGAAAGAATACTAAAAACCAGTGGACAGTAGAATTTGGGGTCATCATTGTCCCATGAAATGATGTAATATACATGTGTGTGTGTGTGTGTGTGTGTGTGTGAGAGAGAGAGAGAGAGAGAGAGAGAGAGAGAGAGAGAGAGAGAGTGCATTGGGGTCATCCTCTGTTCTGGAGGTCTCTTTTCTCGCTTCATCACTGTTCATCATTTATCATTCGTTGAAGATGATCCCATCAGACACTGGTTTTTCAATTGTCCATGGACTAGAAAAAATATTTCCTGATACTGATAGTTGAATGCTATTTGCACCGATGGTTCTGCTATTCCCATCCAAAACATGGGTTGAAGCATCTAGCTACACTAGCTGGTTAGCATGGGTGTATATATATATCTTTTTTGTCGGTGTAATCCACTGAAAATAATGTTCAAATATCAGCATAACTGCTGAGCATTATTGTTGCCAATTGCTCACCAAACACGTCCAAATATTTATTCAGGTACCTTTCTTCTCTCAAATGGATGACCAGCTCCTCGACGCCATATGTGAGCGCCTTTTCTCCTCCCTTAGCACTGAGGGCACTTACATTGTTAAAGAAGGTGATCCGGTTACCGAAATGCTCTTTATCATTCGTGGGTGCCTAGAGAGCTCAACCACCAATGGTGGGAGGACTGGTTTCTTCAACTCGACCACTCTTCGACCTGGTGACTTTTGTGGAGAGGAGCTTCTCACTTGGGCGCTTCTTCCGAGATCAACCCACAACTTACCCTCTTCGACCCGAACTGTAAGAGCCTTAGTTGAAGTGGAGGCCTTTGCCTTAAGGGCTGAGGACCTAAAGTTTGTGGCTAACCAGTTTAGGAGGCTCCATAGCAAAAAGCTTCAACAGACATTTAGATTCTATTCTCATCAATGGAGAACATGGTCAGCTTGCTTTATACAGGCAGCTTGGAGAAGATATAAGAGGAGGAAGATCGCTAAGGAGTTGGCCATGCGAGAGTCTTTCTCCTATACACCAAAGCCTAGTGGTGAGGGGTCGGTGCCTGAGGGTGGTGGTGATGAGGACTTAAGTGGGGCTCCCTTTATGAACCTTGGGGTTACGATTTTGGCCTCTAGGTTTGCGGCAAACACCAGGAGAGGGGCACAAAAAATCAAGGAGGCGGACTCAACAGGCTTGAAGCTGCAAAAGCCTGAGGAGCCCGATTTCTCGACTGAGCCTTATGATGATGACTAGAGAAGTGGGTGTTGTTTCTCTCTATAGATATTGTTGTGGGGTCTTGGAGGTGGGATGACGATCATCGGAAATAGGGTGCTGTTTATCTATGCAATGGTTTTCTGAATGTGGGACAATGGCTGGTGGAAATGGGTGTTATTTCTCTTTGTTATGGGGTTTTGGGGGGTGGGTTGTATAAGGAGCATTTAACTTGACTGAGGAATGGGTGTTGTTTCGTTCTCTATTTATCGTTTGGGAGGTGGGTTGGAGATGCAGTGTTTAACTTGACTAGTAGGGGAATGATCTGATGGGTTTTGGAGTTAAGGATGACACAGCTGCTGTGCAATGAATGTTGGGTGTGAAATGGGATTAGCATGTAGATTCACATACATTTATATGTTTGGAGGCTAAAGTTATGACTGAACGTAATAGTTGTTTTATTGGAAAAGTTTAGTGTCTCAGCTCTTGGAGAACAAAGAGATGTAAGCCCCAATCTGCCCAAATGCTCCTCTATGGTAGTGATTAATTGGGGGTGCTGATATGTGTATTGTTCACGCTTTGTGTGATTCGTTAGATGATACTATGATATCAAGGTTAGAGAGCCATTTTATATGGCTGTTATAACAGGTACAGCAGTCGTTGTCTCTATATATTGCCTAATATTTAGTGATACACAATGTAACGGCCTTTGCTGTTGCTGTTACAGCAGCTGTTACCGTTACAACAGCCCTTATAAGGGATGTTTTAACAGATTGTATCACATGCATGCTGTTTGTTGCACCTCTCTTTCTTGTATGCTTTGTTTCAAAGAACTGCCTGCTCACTGGGGCCATAGGCAGCTTTACCTAGGCTTGAGTGGGTCATCCTAGGTAGAAGTTCCTGGGTGCCTGCCCCACGCCCAGTCTTGGGTGGTCACCCTGGAACTTACATAAAAAATGGTGAGAAATGTTTTTTGTGGGGCCATTGTGGGTCATTTTGACCCACGAAAGGGGGTATTCTAATTCCCCAAAGTAAAAAACCTTTATATACCTTAGAAATACCAAAAAATGATTGCTTTTGTGACTTTTTGTGAAACAAGATAATTTGGAGAAGTTCGTAGAATCATCTAAAACATTTCCATTTCTTATTGCAATCAATTTTAAGAACTAAATGACTTAAAAGACTTTTGGGGTGATTTTGAGCTTGTTAGACAAGTTGAAAAAGATAAAACATCCTAAACATGGAGTAATTAAAGATATCCTCTTTCTTCTCATTTGTATAGCATTTGTTGTACATCATTTTGTATTGGTCATTTGCTCTCATTGGCGACATGGAGTTTATGAGTATGTATGAATTATGGACTATAGAGTATGGTGTGACCATATGATTTATGGACTATAGAGCATGGTATATAGAAACTAAATCACTAATATACTATGTGCTTGTGGTTTTTGTTCTCTTTGTTTTCACTATTTTAGTTATTTAAAGAAGCAAAATTTTAGTGATTTGAACGTGTTTTAACATTCCCATGCCTATATTTGTACGAAGTAGTTACTAATAATATATTTACAAAAAAACAAGTTACTAAGATTATATATAAAGGAAAGTATACTTCCCCTACAACATAGAAGATCTATGTTTATCTTGCCATCCAGGCGTCCAATTTTGATCAAGAGAGCCAATCACCGTTTGATTTTAGATCCAATTTTTCAAAGTATTTTATTTTTAGTTTTTTTGTACAAATTGTATGCATATGAAATGTTGCACGTGCCATATTTTAATTGGGTTGCACCTATAAAAAATATTAAAAATAACTTTTCGATAAAATATAATGACCAAAATACCCGTTGAAATTTTTAGGGGTATTTTGGTTATTTTATTTTATTAGAATGATTTTTTTAAATATTTTTTGCTAGTGCGAGTTTAATAGAGGATTTGACGTACAAAATTTAGTATCAAAATAGTTTATAGAAAAATAATTAAAAATAAAATAATGTAGAGACGTGACAAGAATGGATGGATAAGAATGGACGGTTGGATAAGGGGAAGTATATAAGTTTTATGTTGTAGGGGAAATATACAATATTTAACTCGTAGATTGGCATGTGAGTTTAGGCAGCACATATGTGCATATGTGTATGTCTCACACCTTTGGGCTCTTGAAGTTCGGGACGGGCGGCTACGTAGGCGCCCACCTAAGCACTGGGTGGCCTAGACCCCGCCGGGCGCTAGGGGCTGCCCAAAGTTTTTCTAAACCTTGCTTGTGTGGATGTTGGTGTCCCTCTCTCTCTCGTTCTCGCCCTCGTGTGAAGATGATGGTGCTCCTCTCTCCCCAAAGTTTTTCTAAACCTTGCTTGTGTGGATGTTGGTGTCCCTCTCTCTCGTTCTCGCCCTCGTGTGAAGATGATGGTGCTCCTCTCTCTCTCTCTCAAGTGTAGATGATGGCGTCTCTCTCTTTTTCTTGTGTGCAGATAGGGGTGACAATCGGGTTGGAGAGACCGGTTAACCCGATCTAGGTCCGGGTTTAGGTCCAAGTTTTGGTCCCGGTGGGTCGATTCTGGGTCCAAAACCCTAGACCCGATTCGGATCCGAGTGAGGTCCGGGTTCAGACCAGATCCCAACCCGACTCCCAACATATATGTACACATACACATACATATGTACCTATAAATATACACATATATCGCGCACCTGTGTACATGTAATATTTTGATAAATTTACCTATTATTGTATGATGTGTGTATTTGAAATATATATTTTTGAATATTATTTTAAATTTTTTTTACTTCGGTTTTAGAACCTAACCCAAACAGGATAGGGTTGGGGTCTAAGTTTTGGAGCCGATGGTCAGGTCGGGGTCCAAAACGCTAGACCCAAATTGGTCGGGTCGAGGTCGATCTGGATCAGACTTGAGCTATTGCCACCCCTAAATGTAGATAAATGGTGCACATCTCTTGTGTGCAGATAATGGTGTACTTGTCTTTCTCGCGTGTAGATGATGGTGCCTCTCTCTCTCGTATGTAGATTAACTGAGGAAGCTGATTAGAAGGGTAGAAATTAGAATGCTATTCCAAAATGAAGTGCCTTACTTTCTGTAAGGATTATTGAATGGTGAATTGTCTAACAATGGGTTCATAGTGTGGGTTTCTCTCTAAAGGTGGAGCAGGAGCAGCTAATGCTTTCTTTCCTTAAGAATCAGTTCATGTGTAATAAACCAAGTTAAGTTATGGAGACGAAGACATTTAGAAAGATGAATGTTCACCTTTTCCTGTTCATACCCATACTGAACGCAAACATGTCCGCCCAAACTTTAACGCTGCAAAGGATAGTTGATTGTGCTCATAAAAGTGGATTATTATGCTAAACTCCTCACCAGCCAAACGATTCAGATTGGTGAACATGCTACTTCAGATTCGGTACTGGTACTGGTACTGGTACTGGGGAAAGTCGTATAGAAATTGATGAATGAAAAAAATAAAATAAATTGTGAAACGAGCATTGTGGGTTTTTTAAGTTTGACCAGAACCCCATCGATTCCGATTCAAATTGGGCGATCCAAACTAGTTTCTAGCATAGTCATCGAACTAAATTGTTAGCTTAAGGACTCATTTCCTTAGAGAGAGAGAGAGCGATTGATTCCGGTTCGAAGTAGGCCATCCAAGCTAGTTTCTAGCATAACCTTTGAAGTTTGAACCAAATAATTAGAGGAAGGGCTATTCTTTTTTGTGAGAGTGTGAGAGAGAGAGATTTCTTTTTTTGGATGAAGTTTATAGGCTTCATGAAAATAAAATAAAAAGCCTTACCTCAAATCTTCGTCCGGGAAGCACTTTCAGCAATAGAATTATCCATGATGGCTCTAAAATCAATAACAATAAAATTTGAAACTCAAAAAATAGGATAAGATTTTACAGATCTGTGAACACTATATTATTTTTAGGGCAAACTAGACAGTTTAGATATTTTTTTTACAATATGCACTATTTTTAGAGCTTGAAATCTTTGTTTTTTTTCGCAACCACAATGCTTAAGCTGATATGATTGATGTAAAGGTTTCTTAATGCTTGAATTGTAATTTTTGATGAGTTATGAGGTGAATATTTACTTATTTACTAGGTTTGCAACCCTACCAAACCGTTTTCTTTCTTTTATTAACGTTTAGAGAGTGAGAAGCAAACTTGCCAAAAGAAATAGATAGATACAAAAGTTTGAATTCCTCCCAAAAAGAAATTTGATTCCTTTAGTTGGGTTGGTGATGGCCTCAAATCTAATACACAATTTTTTATAATGGATTTCCAAATTCATAAAGGAAAATTGTTTCATACGAGCTGGACTGCATTTCTACATTATGCAGTCCATAGGTGTAAAGCACTCATCTTAAAGATAGATGCAAATAGGTGGTCCATCTAAAAACAAAGGTAACTAACGGTCGAAATGTTTTCTTAATTATACTTATTATTATTATTATTATTATTATTATTATTTTTCATATTCATGATCTTCATATTAAAGATTATATATTATCTAAAAATTAGGACTAATTATATTTAAAAAATGTATTTATTATCAAGCCCACCTTTCTACAATATGCCGGCTGGCCGCATAGAAACCGTGTCCATTCGTAAATATCTATATTCCTGCCGAATAAATGTCCTACTCTATGAGGCTATAAAGAAAAAAACACATGCAAAGAATTAGAGGGCTAAAAAGCTCCACATGCTAGAAGCCAAAAGGCAGATATCACCTCTATATAAAATAATGCTTAGGCCCTTATCAGATCCAAATCAGATTTGCTTTCTTCTTATTGGTTTTGTCCATGATTACTCCCTCCAAGCTCTATAAATAGAGATGAATTTTTGATGGCTACAAGCCTCAAGCAAGATTTTAGGGTCCAAAAATAGCTTAAGAGACTACATACAGAGACAAAATGGGGATCTGGTTTTCTTTTGCTAATGTGATTTTGATTGGTTTAGGCCTTTGTGCCCTTGTGGTAGCAGATAAGGGAACTGCCACATTTTATACCCCTCCTTATGTTCGTGAGTCTCTCTCTCTCTCTCACATATATTCGAGTGTGCGAGCTTGTGTGGCATTTTAATGGTTTGTCTCAAGATTGTCTGTCTGACTCGGGGCAAGCCTGAATTCGACCAGGCTGAGAGGCTGGCAATTATAAGTCAGAAAACCTTGTAATTGCCGGAATCTCCATCTTTTTTACTATTTACTATGTCTTAGAATAGCCTGATGGAGAGGCTGGCAATTATGGGGCAGAAAACCTTGTAATTACCGGAGTCTTCATGTTTTTGAGTATTTACCATGTCTCAGAATAGCATGTCTGTCTCGAACTCAAGGCTGGCACTTATGGGTGAGGAAACCTTGTAATTATTAGAGTCTCCTTGTTTTTTACCTTCTTAGATACAGAAACAAGATTGTTGAATGTTGAGATCCCATCAAGATATTTACTTAATCAACTAGGAAATTAATATAAGTAGCATCCATATAGGACCATGAGAACTAAAGCATAAAAGCACAAATACAACGAGAACAAAATGGTTTACTTGGTTCACCTCAAAAGGGCTATGTACACAGGCATGGTAAACTAAAATCTGTGTATAGAGTCACCCTTTTACCCCTACAAAAGAGCCTAGTTGAGCAACACTTTTGACCATCTCTCCCGACCGGCATCATTTACTGATTACCCATATCAATTTCACAATTAAACCACGAAGAAAATCATGAGAGCAGCCGAGACGTTATCTCACTAAAAAGAGATACCATCACAATCTCTATAAAAATCGATTCTCTATAAGAAACTAGCATAACATTCAATGTACGAGGCACCATCACACAATTTCTCTCTAGAAAGCTACTTCTCTGTCTTGAGAGCCTGTCTCTCATTGCAGGAGTTTCATTCTTCTCTCTTTAAAGGAAGCCCATATTTCCCATAAAGGAAGCTACTTCTTTGCATTCAACATAATAGTTGCATACGTATTATACATACTACTAGCTTCATGTAACCTCAAGAATCTGTTATTGAGGTGAATGCTCCTCTAACTTAAGCTGACATTGATGGCCTTGATTAGAGGAACGATTCCTCTCAACCGTCGATTGTTCGCAATAGATTGTTGATTTTGGATGTAACATAATCTGTGTCCTTATGCACTGTTTTAAAACCCAGAATCAAGTTTTAGATTGTCCACCCACTCAACCTATTTGGATCGGCCAAATCAATATAAATCATACAATTATCAGCCTAAGCCACTAACACCATGGCTATGCATAGACCGCATAATGTTAGTTTTTTCTTGAGTGTCACAAATCGCATACTGTTATTCTTTTTTTTGGGATGAAGCATACTGTTAGTTTTTTACAGTAAACATGCATGACAAGCTTGCTAGTAACATGAACTGCTTGTGCTTGCAACATAGCTTCTTCATGCGATGGATTCAAAAACGAAGGAACCATGATCGCGGCTGCTAGTGATGAGATATGGGATTCAAAAAGAGCATGTGGCCGAGTTTACAAGGTTAAGTGCACTGGTGGCACTAACAACGGTGTTGAGCACCCTTGCAGGGGCTCAGGCTCGGTGACTGTCAAGATCGTCGACTATTGCCCCGCAGGTTGCCGTGGCACCATCGATCTCTCTCAAGAAGCCTTTGAAGCCATTGCAGACCCTGATGAAGGCAAGATCACCATAGACTACCACCAGTAAGTGAAATCCACTAGTTTTACCACCATCGTTAGGGCTACAACTATGCCAGTGTTGGGCTGGGCCAGAACTGGCCCATGCCGGGCCTGAATTCATGTGGCCCACAGATTAGCTTAGGCCAGGCTTGTCCATAATATGTAGATATATAAAATATATATATATTTTTAATACAGTATGAAATTTTTTTATATGAGCTGTCTAATCTTATAGTATGAAAGCAAGGCACACCTCAAAAACCCTCAGGATTTTGGATTTTGGATATTGGAAAAT